TACGAGGGACACTGAATTGTTACTGAGGGACACTGAATTGTTACTGAGGGACACAGAATTGTTACTCGGGACAGACACAGAATTGTTACTGAGGGACACAGAATTGTTACTCAGGGACACAGAATTGTTACTCAGGGACACAGATTTGTTACTGAGGGACAGACACAGAATTGTTACTGAGGGACACAGATTTGTTACTCAGGGACACAGAACTGTTACTCAGGGACACAGAATTGTTACTGAGGGACACAGAATTGTTACTCGGGGACACAGAATTGTTACTCAGGGACAGACACAGAATTGTTACTGAGGACACAGAATTGTTACTGAGGGACACAGAATTGTTACTGAGGGACACTGAATTGTTACTCAGGGACGCAGAATTGTTACTCGGGGACAGACACAGAATTGTTACTGAGGGACACAGAATTGTTACTCAGGGACACAGAACTGTTACTCAGGGACAGACACAGAATTGTTACTGAGGGACACAGAACTGTTACTCAGGGACACAGAACTGTTACTCAGGGACAGATACAGAATTGTTACTGAGGGACACAGAATTGTTACTGAGGGACACAGAATTGTTACTCAGGGCCACAGAATTGTTACTCAGGGACAGACACAGATTTGTTACTCAGGGACACAGAATTGTTACTCAGGGACACAGAATCGTTGAATTAAAGAGTATGTCAGACAACATGCAGAGGAGTGGCAGAGGAGGCAATGTTTTAGGAGCGAGCAGACGTGGCAGCAGAGGAAGGGGTCGAGGCAGCACTAGTCACAGCCAGAGGCCAGTGCTCCCGGTGTCATCCAGCGGTCGTGTCTCCACCGACAACCCTGCCGTCATCGATTGGTTGGCTCGGTCGTCTTCCTCTTCCCAGGTCACCTCTGACACCTACAGCCAACGTCGGTGTGTACGTCAGACACAACCGTTTAGTTGGCATGGCCCGGGAGCAAGCCCACTGAAATCACGTGTCCTCTACCTGCCCCTGTCCTTTGCTGTTCCCTCACCAAGCGAAGTATCGCATGCTGTGGGCTCAGCCCCACTGTACAGTGAGGAAGAGCTAACAGAGGGCGGTCAGGAACGGGGGGAGACATCCGCCTCTTCAGCAGCCAGGCGAAGAAGTACTGGCGAGGAGAGTGGCTCGGTAGCCGGTCTAGAGACAGGTCTGTCTCCTGACCCAGACGCAGCCGAGGGGGCTAGTAGTGAGGCAGAGACCCTACTTGATGATGAGGAGGTTGATCGCACTTGGCAGCCTCGTCGTCATCAGGCAATTTCTTCCGCATCATCAGGAGAAGAGGGTGGCAGCTTGGCAGCGAGCAAAACAGTCGGTGGGTTGCCCAGGAGGCAGCAGGGTCGCAGCAGTGTCAGTGGAGGCAAACGGCCACGGAGTAGAGCACCAGCTCCACTGCAGCCTACCACCACGGCCAGTAGTGGTGCCGGTGTGCACGGAGGAAGTAGCAGTCAGCCAGTGAGGAGTAGCGGGGGCAAAGTTTCCTACTCGGCGGTGTGGCAATTTTTCGTCAAGCCGCCCGAGGAAGTAAACGTAGCCGTATGTCGACTATGTGGCCAGAAAGTCAAGCGTGGCCAGGGGGCCCATGTTGGGACTACAGCGTTGCGTCAGCATATGCAGCGTCGCCATTTTGTGCCTGGGAAAACCGTGATAAAGATACGGCGGTTCTGCCTGCCCCAGCCCCCGCTCCATCACCCGCTCCGTTACTTGCTCCGTCACCCGACGTCAATCGCCCTCTATCACCCAGTCAAGGCTCCAACACCTCTGCTGAGGGAGTTGTCGCTCGTTGGCATCTTCCGCTCGTTCAGATGCTCCTTCTCCAGCTACTCCTCTTCACGGATTCCGTCAGCAGTCTTTTTTGGAATCCGTTTCCAAGAGACAACAGTTTGCGAGCACGCACCCGACGGTGCAAAAGCTGAACGTCCTCCTGTCCAAGTTGCTGGTGCTGCAGTCCCTCCCTTTCCAAGTGGTGGACTCAGCACCTTTCCGAGAAATGATGGCTTGTGCCGCGCCGCGGTGGAGAGTGCCAAGCCGGCATTTCTTCGCCAAAAAGGCAGTGCCAGCCCTGCATTCACATGTAGAAGAGATGGTGGGCCAGTCTTTGAGCATGTCGGTCTCTGCCAAAGTGCACGGCAGCGCCGACGTGTGGAGCTGTAACTACGGTCAGGGACAGTACATGTCATTTACGGCACACTGGGTGAACGTGGTGCCGGCACAGCCGCACCAGCAACTTGGACAGGTCACGACGCTTTTGCCTCCACGTTTGCACGTCCTTGGTCCAGCAAACATGTCCGCCTCTACCACCTCTTCTTCCGCCGTGTCCTCAGCCGCCACCCCCGTGCCAAGTCCCATTACCCGACCGGCATATCACATGTGCAGGGCGCAACGGTGTCACGCTGTGCTGCACCTGTATGCCTTGGCGAACGTAGTCACACAGGGAGGAACTTCTGAGTTGTAATGAACAGAGAAATCGACAGATGGCTGTCTCCACGCAAACTGAAAATCGGAACCATGTTGACCGACAACGGAAAGAACATGGTGTCTGCTCTGCGTCAAGGAAGGTTGTGCCATGCGCCATGCATGGCTCACGTGTTCAATCTGGTTGTCAAGCTGTTCCTAAAATCCACCATCCCACTGCAAGACATCCTTAAAATGTCACGTAAACTTTGCATGCATTTCAGCCATTCCTACACCGCAAAGCACACCCTCCTTGAGCTGCAGCGGCAGAACGGAATTCCACAGCATCGCCTGATCTGCGACGTTGCAACAAGGTGGAATTCAACACTACACATGTTAGACCGCCTTTACGAACAGCGAAAGGCCATCACCGATTTCCTGATGTTACAAGCGGATAAAGGTACACCCCCTGTGTAACTTCGATGTCAGCCATTGGCAGCTCATGCGTGACACCTGCCGCTTGCTCAGGCCCTTTGAGGAGGCCACGCTATTCGTGAGTCGGCAGGACTATGGGATGAACGACGTCATTCCTCTGTTGCACGTCCTGGAACAAATGCTGTTAACAATGGCTGGTCAGGGTGCGGTAGACGTGGCGCACAGATCTCAACGCCACATGACCCCTGTGGGGGCAGGACAGGAAGAAGAGGAGGAGGTAGAGGAGGACATTTGTGCTCAGAATTATTGAGTGAAATGGGTGGTTTTTCCACTCAGCGGACAGGAGTGGAGGAGCAGGAGCATCTGGTAGAGGAGGAGGTAGGAGGAGACAGGACCCAGACGCACCGTGGCAGTATGCTGTGGAGATGGAGGCAGGGAGTCCCTCGCATTCCTTGGCACAAATGGCCCATAGCATGCTCGGTTGCTTGCGTAGCGACAGCCGAATAATAACCATCAGACAGAGGATGACTTTTGGCTGTCCACCTTGTTGGACCCTCGCTAACCGTTCCAAAATGGTGGCCTTTTTTCACACCTGCTGAGAGGGAGGCCAAAATTACGTACTATATAAAAACCACCTATGTAGTAAGTTGGTCTCTGCCTTTCTGCGCCAACGTCCATCCTCAGACACTGTGGGCCCTGTGCGCTCGCGTTCCGCTGCCATGGCAGCAGGGGAAGGGGTGGGGTGGGTAGGAGCAGTGGCAGCTCCACCAGCAGTGGCTGCCTCAGTCTGCAGTCGATGATGAGTAGCTTTCTTCACCAGCGCAGTGAGGAAACTACTAACCAGCAGCAGCAGCAGCATCAGGTGGACCTGGAGCAGGAGCTCAAACAACAGGCTTGGCCTACTTGGACAGCACCCTGCCAACCGAGGTAGACAATCCCCTTGACTACTGGGCAACGAAACTTGACCTTTGGCCCAACTAGCTGAATTTGCCCTTGAAAGGCTGTCATGCCCGGCCAGTAGCGTGGCATCGGAGCGCGTGTTTAGTGCGCAGGAGGTATTGTAACTCCGCGGAGGACACGACTGTCCACCCAAAGTGTGGAGAGACTCACGTTTGTGAAAATGAATCAGGCGTGGATTAGTCTGGATTTCAAACCACCAGTTCCTGACACAACTGACTAAATCCGCCAGGAATCATGCCCCTGCCATGTGCCACTTTCAGGTCTCCTCACACTGCTGCTGTGTTCCATTTTGTCATAGGGTGCTGGCAGATTACGGGCCTCCCATTGCTGCTGCCAGGCCCCTAATCTGCCATGGGCCCCGTACCGCCTCCTCATGCTGCTGCCAGGTCCCACAGTGTGTCATGCCATGTGCCACTTTCAGGTCTCCTCACACTGCTGCTGGGTTCCATTTTGTGTCATAGGATGCGGCAGAGTTACGGGCCTCACATTGCTGCGGCCAGGCCCCTAATCTGCCATGGGCCCCTGTACCGCCTCCTCACGCTGCTGCAAGGTCCACAGTGTCTCATGGGTCCTGTTACGGCCTCCCATTGCTGCTGTCTCCAACGCCACACTCTGCCCATGTGCCACTTTCAGGTCTCCTCACACTGCTGCTGGGTTCCATTTTGTCATAGGATGCTGGCAGATTACGGGCGTTCTCCCATTGCTGCGGCCAGGCCCCTAATACTGCCATGGCCCCTGTACCCAGCCGCGAGAGACCTCATGCTGCTGCAAGGTCCACAGTGTCTCATGGGTCCCTGTACGGCCCTCCCATTGATGCTGCTGTCTCCAACGCCACACTCTGCCATGTGCCCTTTCAGGTCTCCTCACACTGCTGCTCGGGGCATTCCATTTTGTCATAGGATGCTGGCAGATTACGGGCCTCACATTGCTGCGGCCAGGCCAGCCCCTAATCTAATCTGCCATGGGCCCCTGTACCGCCTCCTCACGCTGCAAGGTCCACAGTGTCTCATGGGTCCCTGTACGGCCTCCCATTGCTTGTCTCCCAACGCCACACTCTGCCATGTGCCACTTTCAGGTCTCCTCACACTGCTGCTTGGTTCCATTTTGTCCATAGGATGCTGGCAGATTACGGGCCTCACATTGCTGCGGCCAGCCCCTAATCTGCCATGGGCCCCCTGTACCGCCTTCCTCTTACGCTGCTACCAGGTCCACAGTGTCTCATGGGTCCCTGTACGGCCTCCCATTGCAGCTGTCTCCAACGCCACACTCTGCCATGTGCCACTTTTCAGGTCTCCTCACACTGCTGCTGGGTTCCATTTTTGTCATAGGATGCTGGCAGATTACGGGCCTCACATTGCTGCGGCCAGGCCCCTAATCTGCCATGGGGGCCCCTGTACCGCCTCCTCACGCTGCTGCAAGGTCCACAGTGTCTCATGGGTCCCTGTACGGCCTCCCATTGCTGCTGTCTCCAACGCCACACACTCTGCCATGTGCCACTTTCAGGTCTCCTCACACTGCGCTTGGTTCCATTTTGATCATAGGATGCTGGCAGATTACGGGCCTCACATTGCTGAGGCCAGGCCCCTAATCTGCCATGGGCCCCTGTACCCCCTCCTCACGCTGCTGCAGGTCCACAGTGTCTCATGGGTCCCTGTACGGCCATCTCCCATTGCAAGAGCTGTCTCCAACGCCACACTCTGCCATGTGCCACTTTTCAGGTCTCCTCACACTGCTGCTGGGTTCCATTTTGTCATAGGATGCTGGCAGATTACGGGTCTCACATTGCTGCGGGCCAGGCCCCTAATCTGCCATGGGCCCCTTTACCGCCTCCTCACGCTGCTGCTAGGTCCACAGTGTGTCATGGGTCCCTGTACGGCCTCCCACTGCTGCTGTCTCCAACGCCACACACTGCCATGTGCCACTTTCAGGTCTCCTCACACTCTGCTGCTGGTTCCATTTTGTCATAGGATGCTGGCAGATTACGGGCCTCACATTGCTGCGGCCAGGCCCCTAATCTCCATGGGCCCCTGTACCGCCTCCTCACGCTGCTGCTCAGGTCCACAGTGTCTCATGGGTCCCTGTACGGCCTCCCATTGCTGCTGTCTCCAACGCCACACTCTGCATGTGCCACTTTCAGGTCTCCTCACACTGCTGCTTGGTTCCATTTTGTCATAGGATGCTGGCAGATTACGGGCCTCACATTGCTGCGGCCAGGCCCCCAAATCTGCCATGGGGGCCCCCGTACCGCCTCCTCACGCTGCTGCTAGGTCCACAGTGTCTCATGGGTCCCTGTACCGCCTCCCATTGCTGCTGTCTCCATCGCCACACTCTGCCATGTGCCACTTTCAGCTCTCCTCACACTCCTGCTGGGTTCCATTTGTCATAGGTTGCTGGCAGATTACAGGCCTCCCATAGCTGCTGCCAGGCCCAAAATCTGCCATGGGCCCCCGTACCGCCTCCTCATGCTGCGCTAGGTCCACAGTGTGTCATGGTCCCTCCCTGTACCGCCTCCCATTGCTGCTGTCTCCATCGCCACACTCACTGCCATGTGCCACTTTCAGGTCTCCTCACACTCCTGCTGGGTTCCATTTTGTCATAGGTGCTGGCAGATTACAGGCCTCCCATAGCTGTGTCTGCCAGGCCCCAAATCTGCCATGGGCCCCCGTACCGCCTCCTCACGCTGCTGCTAGGTCCACAGTGTGTCATGGGTCCCTGTACCGCCTCCCATTGCTGCTGTCTCCATCGCCACACTCTGCCATGTGCCACTTTCAGGTCTCTCCTCACACTCCTGCTGGTTTCCATTTTGTCATAGGTTGCTGGCAGATTACAGGCCTCCCATAGCTGCTGCCAGGCCCAAATCTGCCATGGGCCCCCCGTACCGCCTCCTCACGCTGCTGCTAGGTCCACAGTGTGTCATAAGTCCCTGTACCCGCCTCCCATTGCTGCTGTCTCCATCGCCACACTCTGCCATGTGCCTGTTTCAGGTCTCCTCACACTCCTGCTGGTTTCCATTTTGTCATAGGTTGCTGGCAGATTACAGGCCTCCCATAGCTGCTGCCAGGCCCCAAATCTGCCATGGGCCCCCGTACCCGCCTCCTCACTACATGCTGCTGCTAGGTCCACAGTGTTTCATGGGTCCCTGTACCGCCTCCCATTGCTGCTGTCTCCCATCGCCACACTCTGCCATGTGCCACTTTCAGGTCTCCTCACACTCCTGGCTGGGTTCCATTTTGTCATAGGATGCTGGCAGATTACAGGGCCTCCCATAGCTGCTGCCAGGCCCCAAATCTGCCATGGGCCCCCGTACCGCCTCCTCACGCTGCTGCTAGGTCCACAGTGTGTCATGGTTCCCTGTACCGCCTCCCATTGCTGCTGTCTCCATCGCCACACTCTGCCATGTGCCCACTTTCAGGTCTCCTCACACTCCTGCTGGTTTCCATTTTGTCATAGGTTGCTGGCAGATTACAGGTTCCCCCATAGCTGCTGCCAGGCCCAAAATCTGCCATGGGCCCCCCGTACCGCCTCCTCACGCTGCTGCTAGGTCCACAGTGTGTCATGGGTCCCTGTACCGCCTCCCATTGCTGCTGTCTCCATCGCCACACTCTGCCATGTGCCACTTTCAGGTCTCCTCACACTCCTGCTGGTTTCCATTTTGTCATAGGATGCTGGCAGATTACAGGCCTCCCATAGCTGCTGCCAGGCCCCAAATCTGCCATGGGCCCCCGTACCGCCTCCTCACGCTGCTGCTAGGTCCACAGTGTGTCTCATGGTTCCCTGTACCGCCTCCCATTGCTGCTGTCTCCATCGCCACACTCTGCCATGTGCCACTTTCAGGTCTCCTCACACTCCTGCTGGTTTCCATTTTGTCATAGGTTGCTGGCAGATTTACAGGCCTCCCATAGGTGCTGCCAGGCCCCAAATCTGCCATGGGCCCCCGTACCGCCTCCTCACGCTGCTGCTAGGTCAACACTGTGTCATGGGTCCCTGTACCGCCTCCCATTGTGCTGTCTCCATCGCCACACTCTGCCATGTGCCATTTCAGGTCTCCTCACACTCCTGCCTGTTTCCATTTTGTCTGCTACAGGCCTCCATGCTGTGCCAGGCCCAGTACATCTGCCATGGGCCCAGTCGGATGCTGGGGAAAGGGATCCCACGCTGCTGCTAGGTCAAGTGTACTCATGGGTCCTGTACCGCCTCCCATTGCTGCTGTCTCCATCGCCACACTCTGCCATGTCCACTCCGGTCTCCTCACACTCCTCCTGCTGGTTTCCATTTTGGTTGCTGGCAGGAGATTACAGGCCTCCCATTAGTGCTGCCAGGCCCCAAATCTGCCATGGGGTACCGCCTCCTCACGCTGCTGCTAGGTCCACAGTGTGTCATGGGTCCCTGTACCGCCTCCCATTCCTGCTGTCTCCATCGCCACACTCTGCCATGTGCCACTTTCAGGTCTCCTCACACTCCTGCTGGGTTCCATTTTGTCATAGGATGCTGGCAGATTACAGGCCTCCCATAGGTGCTGCCAGGCCCCAAATCTGCCATGGGCCCCCGTACCGCCTCCTCACACTGCTGCTAGGTCCACAGTGTGTCATGGTTCCCTGTACCCGCCTCCCATTGCTGCTCTCTCCATCGCCACACTCTGCCATGTGCCACTTTCAGGTCTCCTCACACTCCTGCTGGTTTCCATTTTGTCATAGGTTGCTGGCAGATTACAGGCCTCCCATAGGTGCTGCCAGGCCCCAAATCTGCCATGGGCCCCCGTACCGCCTCCTCACGCTGCTGCTAGGTCCACAGTGTGTCATGGGTCCCTGTACCGCCTGTCCCATTGCTGCTGTCTCCATCGCCACACTCTGCCCATGTGCCACTTTCAGGCCTCCTCACACTCCTGCTGGTTTCCATTTTGTCATAGGATGCTGGCAGATTACAGGCCTCCCATAGCTGCTGCCAGGCCCCAAATCTGCCATGGGCCCCCGTACCGCCTCCTCACGCTGCTGCTAGGTCCACAGTGTGTCATGGGTCCCTGTACCGCCTCCTATTGCTGCTGTCTCCATCGCCACACTCTGCCATGTGCCACTTTCAGGTCTCCTCACACTCCTGCTGGTTTCCATTTTGTCATAGGTTGCTGGCAGATTACAGGCCTCCCATAGCTGCTGCCTGCCAGGCCCAAAATCTGCCATGGGCCCCCGTACCGCCTCCTCACGCTGCTGCTAGGTCCACAGTGTGTCATGGGTCCCTGTACCGCCTCCCATTGCTGCTGTCTCCATCGCCACACTCTGCCATGTGCCACTTTCAGGTCTCCTCACACTCCTGCTGGTTTCCATTTTGTCATAGGTTGCTGGCAGATTACAGGCCTCCCATAGCTGCTGCCAGGCCCAAAATCTGCCATGGGCCCCCGTACCGCCTCCTCACGCTGCTGCTAGGTCCACAGTGTGTCATGGTTCCCTGTACCGCCTCCCATTGCTGCTGTCTCCATCGCCACACTCTGCCATGTGCCACTTTCAGGTCTCCTCACACTCCTGCTGGTTTCCATTTTGTCATAGGTTGCTGGCAGATTACAGGCCTCCCATAGCTGCCGCCAGGCCCCAAATCTGCCATGGGCCCCCGTACCGCCTCCTCACGCTGCTGCTAGGTCCACAGTGTGTCATGGGCCCCTGTACCGCCTCCCATTGCTGCTGTCTCCATCGCCACACTCTGCCATGTGCCACTTTCAGCTCTCCTCACACTCCTGCTGGGTTCCATTTTGTCATAGGTTGCTGGCAGATTACGGCGTCTCCCATAGCTGCTGCCAGGCCCCTAATCTGCCATGGGCCCCCGTAACGCCTCCTCACGCTGCTGCTAGGTCCACAGTGTGTCATGGTTCCCTTTACTGCCTCCCATTGCTGCTGTCTCCATCGCCACACTCTGCCATGTGCCACTTTCAGGTCTCCTCACACTCCTGCTGGGTTCCATTTTGTCATAGGATGCTGGCAGATTACAGGCCTTCCATAGGTGCTGCCAGGCCCCTAATCTGCCATGGGCCCCCGTACCGCCTCCTCACGCTGCTGCTAGGTCCACAGTGTGTCATGGGTCCCTGTACGGCCTCCCATTGCTGCTGTCTCCATCGCCACACTCTGCCATGTGCCACTTTCAGGTCTCCTCACACTGCTGCTGGGTTCCATTTTGTCATAGGTTGCTGGCAGATTACGGGCGTCTCCCATAGCTGCTGCCAGGCCCCTAATCTGCCATGGGCCCCTGTACCGCCTCCTCACGCTGCTGCCAGGTCCACAGTGTGTCATGGGTCCCTGTACGGCCTCCCCATTGCTGCTGTCTCCATTGCCACACTCTGCCATGTGCCACTTTCAGGTCTCCTCACACTGCTGCTGGGTTCCATTTTGTCATAGGGTGCTGTATGGCCTCCCATTGCTGCTGCCTCCACCGCCACACTGTGGCTCCAAACTCTGGTTTTGGCCCCGTGACTGCCCAAATGAGTGAAGTGTGCGGTGATTCTAAGATCGACGGCACTCATCTGCATGTCATACTGACTGACAGTATTATTTCTCTTCCCCAGCAGACTCCAAGGGCATATTAAATTAAAGGTACAGTGTTCTGCACTAATATAAAGGCTCTCTGAAGCCTAGAAAACACCCTTTTATAAGTTAAATTCACAGCGAATATATATTCGACTCGAATCAAATTTTTTCCACGAATTCGCCAAATCAGTCGAATCGAATTTTTGAATACTTCGCTCATCTCTAGTACTGGGTTAACTTCTGGAAA